GGGCCGATATAGACCATACGTATAAAGTACTCTAGTCTGTCCGGTAAATAAATTTCGTTCGTCCGCTTATCCTCACAAGGATTACAGCACGTGCATTTCTTTAGTGTAACCGTCTGTGGAGTATCTATGGGATAAAATCCACACTCCGTGCTGTCTGCTTGTCTGAACGTATTCTTATGTCCATCTTTGAAAACTTCAAGCACCGCGCCTAATATGCGTTGTACGTCTAACTTCCGGAATCGTAACAGATGTAGCCATGTATGTCCCTTATTCTCGCCCTCACGAAGCCCGTATGCTGATAATCCACGTCCACGAACGGTGTGGATACGGAGGATCAGATTGGTGCCTTTTTGGACATATCGATTATCCGCGCGCTATGTCCCGTGCTTCTGTATGGGTCGCTTTCTTTGATTTTCTCTGGATGGTTTTGACCGAAGCAAGTCATGAACTGCTTCCGCCATCTAATAGGCGGAAGCAGTTCATGACTATTCATCCTTTATCCCTTCACTATTAATCCTTTATCCCTTTCCCATAGAATTCCCGAAATATAAACAACGTAACCTTCATACCCAACTTTGCTTGTTTTTCCGCTTTGGATCATCTTCCTCGGCTGCCGCCTTTTTGGTTGGCTACCAATTTGAATGTAGTGGAGTGTAGTGATGAATTCGCGTTTCATCCGTCGTTATACAACTGAATAAATTCTTTTTATTTTTCTAAGCAACAAAAGTAAGAAAAAGCGGTGACACCTCGTACAGAGCTTCCACGTGTTCCTGTAAAATAGTAAATACACCACCTTCTGATATCGTAAAGGTCTCAGCTATTACGCGAAACTTCACTTTTCGATCTTCCAAAACAATTTTGTTGACTTTTTTTACGTTTTCTGAAATGATTGGCGAACTAAAACGACCAGAGCGTTCATCACCATCGTTTAAAAGCAAACCACTACTTCACTTCGTGTTCGTGGAGTAAGGCCCATATAACACTTATGAAGCCACTGCTTTGCTTAAGCGGTGTTTTTACCAATAAAAACATCGGTTTATCAACACTTGAAACTTAGAATTTTCCATTGTTTTGACAATTACAAAAACAGTGTCACTAAAACAGCTGTACCTTATAAACTACGTTTGGATCGCCGTTAAATTTTCAGGCATTTCGTTTGAAGACTGAGACTACTAAAAATGGATTCGTTAAAAGTGGCGACACCTATTAGTCATCTTACAAACTAATTGAATAATTCCGTGCGCTTGCTATGTCTTTGGGTTATTCTACAAAACACAAAATTGAAGTTTAGATAAATATTTATTATTACAAAGGCAGTAACGAGAGAATTCAGTAGTGGCTGAGTATTTGTTTTTACCAAATCACAAGTAACATATATGAAACTACAGCATAAACCGTGCAGTAGATAAGTCCATGTATTTCTGGCTAGACAACTAAATAGAACTGCTAGAAATAAATGTTTGTTCCTGTCACATTGGCAAAATTATTAGAATAGCACGTGCTTATGATATGTCAAATAGGTAACTTTTAAAAATGGATGTTTGTTAAAATTTTCTTAAACATGGCAAAACCGGTCAACATACAACCTAAAAGATAAAGAATTCGAATCTCAAGCCGCTACACTCAGATTCCACAAACCATACTTTCTAAAAATAAATGTTGAGAAATTATAAACAAGGGCTGATTTATATATTGGACTACGACGTAACTGAATAGATACCATGTAGATCTAAACCGGAATTTGCCCGTAGACGGCGCTGGCTGTAAATATAGTAACTATCAAACTGCGTTATTGGGCAAATTTCTTTTGTTGACGTCTTGGCAAGGATTACCAACAATACAACACAATCTTCATGCGACAGCATAATTTGTAACAGCGTTGAGCATATCAAGTTTTATATCAAATAAAGAAAATGAAACAAAAGGACATCGTTTTTGCATTGTACTGTTACTCGCGGTTAAAAGCAGATTTATTTTGAGAATCCTACGCGAATGGATAGATTTAAGCATACCATTCCCCATCTATCGCAGGAAGAATTGAGTTTTGCTTTCTCGGATGATGCATTTGGTAACCTCCAAACAAAAACATTTTCAAGATCAATTTGGGTTTTGTGTCAGTGACTAAATTGAAAGAATTAAAATATAAACTGTTGGAATATTGATCTTACTAACTAAATCTGACTTGCGTTAGTCAAATTCTATCAATATTAGCCAAAGTTGCAGTAGTAGATCCTTAAAACAAAATTTCCAACGGGCTATGTCTGGCTACCAACAGTTTTGCTTGTGTTGTTATTTAAAAAACGAAGATTGAACCTCAAGCGATAGAAAAGATGAATGAAAAATAAATCAAATTTGCAACAGACCAATCTTACGTAGCTGAAGTATATCATACTTTTTAGTTTCTTTTTTATTAAATGCATTTGGAAACCAAGGAATAACTAGTTGAAAACTCTGTTTTTTTTTTTTTTTTTGTTTGTATTTGATATGGATTGGACCTTTTAACTTAAATTTAGATCCATAATCCAGTAACTATATAGAAATCCATTGCTGATATTCATAATTTCACGTGATGATGAAATAATGATGCTTTTTTACTAAATTTTTTGATTTTTTTGCTTTCAATTGAGTAACACGCTGAAGTTGGTTGTCTACACCCCAACGACAACATGAAGACTGAAGTTGAAAACTCAAGCAGAAATGAAATCTGACTTTTACTAAGAAATCAGAGTTCTTTGCGTACGTATCAAAAAAAAACATAAAATATTGATTAACTCACTATATCCCGATATAATGAAACTAGCTGTGAACGTACAATGTTCAAAATAAAACTTCAGGCTTTACCGCTACAAAGGGCATTTCACCAGATCTCATAAAATATTACGCGCGAACTGATTCAAAGTAGTATATTTCCGCTTTGTGGCTAGTCACTAATCATAAGAAAAGACAACGCGTTTTTTTGTTAGAAGTTTTTGCGCTCAAGTGTCAACTTTGACAGTTCGTAGGAATATTCACAATAATACCATATGCCTATTTTGTTACAAAGCAAGATTGTTGAATCACAAAAACAACATAATGCCGATTTGCTACGCATGCTGTAAAGTTGTACATTTTTTGTAAAGAATTCCTAGAGCGATTATTCAACCACTTAAACATTTCATTTTAAAACACAACGTCGTAGGTTTGCGTACATCGTCACACTCGAACACTTACAAACACGACAGAGAATTTTATATACAAAAATATACATGGACAAACGTTAATGAGACTACCTTTCGCTTCAGAACTATCAAAGCGCGAGCAGAAGAATAATGCAAGTATTCTTTACGTGAAGTGATTTAAAAAATTGAAACAAGTTAGTTTAAGCCAGCTTTTTTGAATATTTTCATAATGTAATTAATAACATGGTCTCGCATGTTAGTCAAAACGAACATTTATAGGTCAGATTAAAGTCACCTAAACATTCAGAGAATAAACATAGTTCCAAGTTAAGTGTCCCATAACTATCTAGATATGTATGTCTAGATAAAATTTAATTTGAAAAGAACATATTACAAAGAGGCGTAATAAGAACAAGAACTTGTTCCCCAGGCTGTAAATGTAAGGTACAGTACACAATTTTAATCTGTCTTATATATATTGCATGTATCTATTTATTACTTCAAGTCCAATCCACATATGCTGCAAAAATTTTGAACCGAAAGCGCTTGTTTAAATACTGCCAACGTTTAACTCTACAACCGCTTAACTGTTGCCTTCATTGAATGCGAAATTAATTTATCCGCAGGAATCCATATCCGAAAATTTTCTCATATTAATATTTCCTAATCAATTCGATCGTCTGTATGAGCAGATTCATCCTAATAAACCGACAGCATAAGATTAATTCCGCATCATTCGAACATAACCGATAAAAAAACAAATTTAGTATTTAGCAGTAGTGTTAACCATTTTAGCTTATTAAAAAAATAAATTGCCTACAAAAAAACAGAGATGGAATTTCATCACTTTAATACTTCATGTTAATTAATGTAGATACTCTTTATGCTATCAATTAAACTAGTCTCTATTTATTATCCACCAATATGTACTAAGAACAACTTTTAATTTTAAAAATAAGTAAGCAGATTTTAACCTATCTATTGATACTACCTTGCGTTGTCTGGTTGGCTGCATATATGTTATTACTGTAATGTAGTAGATAGCGATAGTTGATACTTCTTTCTGCAACTATGGTTTGTGACTGCTGTTGTCAAATTTGTAGTTTGTGAAAACAATTATAAAGTAAGAACTCCAGAAAAAAAGAAAAATCTATAAAATTGTAATATTAAAAATTTGATTTTAAATACAATGAAAGTAAAATGTGTAAGGAATTCATTTAGCAGTAGAGATCTTTTTACGGCACATATGTATTTACCGATATTCTGTGTTGAATTTATAGAGAAAAACAAGTAATTGTGAGAACGCCCTTTATATATATATATATATATTTATATATGTATATTATAAATCAAGTAACTATGAAGTTTAGATTTCGCTACTAAACATTTGCAAATATTTTTTTTTTATGATTGGGTACGTGAGTAAACCGCCATTGGGTGTGATTTTACAAACGTCCTGTCTGTAAATTAAACAATACAAGTGCAGGTACATTTTGCAGTTTTACTAATGCTCAAATATGTATCATATTTAATTTCATTTATCTAGGGAATAGTGCAGGAAATATTGCATTTGGAGCATTTTCAAACTTGTAAATGAATAGAACTTTTATCTGACTAACTGTTAGGGCATTTAAATGAAAAAATGTAGATATTGCAAACCTTTTGAAATGATAGTTAGTAGGCGGTAATCTAAAATATCCGACTCTATTTGTTCAAGCAATTAGTCAAATTGTTTAAATTAATTCAGGACTAACCCAAAGCAGTATATCTAGGTATCTAACATGCTTTCGATGGCAAAATCACACTGCGAAAAACCCCTGTTACATATAGTTTTTACTACGTTGGTAAATAGAACAGGTTGTCATTTTAATCGATATTACTCGAAAGTGCAATGATAAGTTATTAAGTTTTGTTTAATTTGCTATGCGAAGACGAGCGTTTTGGTGTTAATATTTGAAGATCTGCGTAAGTGCACAAATATATAAAGTGACTTTTCATTTTTGAAAGATTTTAAAGCCAATAAGCATCTTTCCTATTTATGTCACTCTAATTTCCCACTGTTCTTAGTATAAAATAGCGGAAAAAATTTGGAAATATAAGAAAAGAGAAAACCTCTGTAAACGGTAAAAAAACGTACGTTGAGTAACGTATTAATTTGTAGTACATTCAAAATGCGTAAAAAAAACTAAAAATGGATGTTATCCATTCTTACAACATCTAGAAATAACCGATGGAGCTCAGTTGCAAACATTTGCATATGCAAACGAGCATTTATTTTGCTGTAAAAAAAAAAACGACATCTCTTTTTTCAGAACCGTTTTGTTTTAAACCTTTGGCTGCTATTTTAATATAATTTTATTTGAAGCTATAGGTGAAGTAGAATTTTATTTGTCATAGCGACTCAAATTTTTACAATTCACACATGCTACATTTTTCGAGTCGAAGTACAACACGACTTTTTTCGGGCTAACTTCTGTCGGTTAATGTGAGAAAGGTGAAACTCTCTATACATTTGGACGAAAAGGCTGGCTTTTGAAAATCCCTTCTGTTGTACCGTTAGTGCTTTTCGGATATACTTTTTACCAGGCTTGGCAAACGTGTATATGTAACGTGTATTATGCGAAGAACCGTCGCAAAATTTATTTGATTTAAAGTTGTCACTCATTGTCTGTGCGATATACTCACCTAAGTATTTTTATATTATATACATAAAATTAACAATAATAAAGTACATGGAGTAAACCTGTACTTTATTTGTGGAGTCCTTAGGCTTCTAAATCAACTCAAATCCCCGTCGTTAGAAAATATTTCTTACTAAGAGCGTTTATGAAAATGTTATGCTGATATTTAAAAAAAAACTTGTGCACTTTCGTGTGGAACGTAGGCAGGTAATATATAATCCAATATATCTGGCATAGGGAAATATTAATTCCAAAGGGACGCTAGTCACTGATTCGATTAACTAAATATAGGTGGACGTTTTATCAATGTCTCGATTTGCTGTGTTTTCATATGTTTCTGTAATTTTATTCCGACTTAATCGTTAGTTTGATTTTAATAAAGACGACAAGAAAAAGAAGAAAGTAAAACTTATATAATTTTATATTATAGGTATTTCATTTCCATTTTTTATCACCTAGAAGGTATGACCAGAGACGCAAATTATTATAAGCGTTTTTAAACAATTTTTTTTTTTGTTGGTGTGTTGAATGGAGATGGACTATTTTTACACTATTTGGTCTTTCTTTGATCACAAAAACCTTTTTTTGACATATAAAGATTGTGAAAAATGTAAACACTTTTAAATAATACAATGACGTCGTCTAAATCCACTCTTATTATATAAATATAAGTATACACAAACTATATTTATTCATAAACACATCTAAGATACATATAAGGTCTATAATTCTAAAGACCGGCATGGTTACCGTAGTATTATGTCACTTCGCAATTTTTAAGATAAGTCCCATAGCTAAAATTATTCTTTAACCTTCTGAACTTTATTTTTGATTAAAGTAAAGACACGCCTGTTGCTACTGAGGACATATATTTTTGTTGTGAAACATATATTTTATTGTCTTCACTTTATAACATTACAACAGTCCACGTTATATTTAGTTTTTTTTTTGCGAATTTTTTAAATAGTTGTAAATGAATAAACACATTAGTTATATTTAATTACTTTATGCGAATTTTTAAAACAACTGTATATGAATAAACATTGATTTGAGTCGATTTTAAAATAATAATGAAAGTAGTATGAAATTTCTTATTCTTACTATTTTTATAATTGTGAAGCATACCGAGGAATATGCACTTCTTTACAAGGTATTTTCTTTTTTATTATACTTAAGGAATTTTCGGATGCTGGCTTTCAAAATGGAGTTGGTTAATTGATAACGAAAGCATAGTTACGAAGGCTTCGGTAAAAGTTTTAGAGCTTGGTAAGTGGTAATAAGAATTACAGGCCAATGTCTATTTTAAATACAGACTTACATATTTAGGTTAAGAAAGAAAATTTTAATATGGATAGCGCAACAAAGGTAAAAGATCATAACTGCAATACATCAGCAACGGTCTCCGCTATGGCGGGAATGTGCAGTAGTGACAGTTTCAGCATTTTTCCTCCAACGCATCACGATCTTACAAGTACAAATAGCATCGAACTGAACGCTGCCGCATCGTTAAGTGACGATTCTGGTGTTCCACTGACTACAAACAGTTCCATATCAAGTGGAGATTCTTATAAACTAGGAATATGTAAATTTGAGATTGAGGTGAGAAAATTTTTTCAAAATATCTATGTATGTAATATCACTTCACTTTTGGTTAGCTTGTAGAAAGCGATGGCGAGGTATCACAGTTTGATTCACTAGATAATTGTTCGGAGGGTGGCATGAGCGCTGAGAACTTCAACACACTCAAAAAGGGCCCTTTGGCACCTATTGATCCACCCCCGGAATTTCAAGATTCGCCGCAAACAACGCTTGCGCGATCAAAAAGTAATTGTAGAGTGGGAAACTTAAGGCGATGGACATCATCGCAGTCCTCCTTTGAACATCTTAAGGAGAATGCTAATTTCGAAGTGTCAGACATCAATACATATAAAGTTGGTAATGGCGGTAAGAATGCAGATGGTGAATGTGTCAATTATCAATTAGATGAGGAGAAACCTATGAAAGAATCGTACGCTATGAACAAACATTTGTATTCCAGTGATTCTATTCTGAACCTACATACCGATAACTTATACGATGAACCAAATCACTTGCTGAGTTCATCCCTGGGAAACAGTATTGACGGAGTAGAATCTGATTCACCACCTTTAGCAGTCCCTCCCCCACCGCCTCCAGTGTCGATTATAAAAATAAAACAAACAATGTGTCCATACTTTCAAGATCACACAAGATATTTTAAGGCGATCCCTTCGGAACAAGATTACCTTACAACAGCAGCCAACCGATTCAACGCATCGGGCCTATCAGAAATACACGACTATGATCTCTATTATGGAATAAAGCGGAATGTATATCAGCAGTTTGACAGCACATTACAACGAAAGGTCATGTACAGTCCCCATCACTGTCACAACCATGTTTATCATGCAGGTAAAGGAAAAACGATGAATCTGTATTTATACCTTTGGTTAAAATCTAATCTCATGTTAAAATTGTCGTTCAGTTTAATAAATGTAGCATAAATTTTGCAAAATGTGCATATATGTTGCATTGGTAAGGCTTTCCGAAAAGGCGTATTCGACCCTTTAATTAATTAATTGTAATTTAAACTTTCACAAAATAATTAAACTAGAGAGTTAAAATTCCTAAAAGCATTGCCTAATTGAAAATATAAAGACCATTTCACATAAGAAATAAAAGCAAGATAAGGAAACTTTCATAGTTCTGCTGAAGTTTGGGATGTCTTATAAAAAATTTGAGCCCAACAATTTAAAAGCTTATTGTGTATATTTTTGCTTTAATCATCATAATTATGCCCCATCTACATTGAAGATGTACTTCATAATTTATTAAAGAAGGCGTTTCACATAGGGTTCCAAGATAAATATTTTAAATCTATCCGCCAAACAACTAAAATTTTTGTATAATTACTCTTTTCGTCTATTTGAGTAACACTTATTTTGTTTCATTTTATTTCAGGAATGTGTGCCAATAGACCCAATTCAAGAAATTCTCTTAATAGTCGTTTATCTAGCTCTCATAATTCATTAAGTGTGTCATCTACGAACAAACCGGACGATTCGATATTTATAACGCAGGCGATGTCACACGATGCCCTGTTGACAAGAGAGATATCTGATTTTTACAATGTTCCACTCGATTCAGACATTTATGCATTTCCTGTAGATATGATTAAAACAGATAAGCCATGTACAATGCAAACCTATATAGATAAACATTCGAGGACCAACATTCACGAAACCAAAGATGACATAATTTTTCATAGTTATAATAAGCAAAGTATCAAGTGTCCCCATCAACATAAAGCAAATCGAAAAAATAAACACAAACGTAAGAAACGCAGTAATTCTAATTGCTTAGAAAGCAATGAATTGGGAAATGATGGTGTTATGAACAATGGGTCTATTAATCAAATATCGAAGTACACGACATCGCTATTGTCTCCATTTAGGGAGCACGACGGTAGTACTGGAAACTTGAAAGGTAGAGAACCGCTTCACATGACTCTAACTGAAGTCAAACAATTCTACCACACACTCTATTCGGATACAAAGCCTAATGGCGGAGGTATTGGCGACCGAAATGCACAAATTTCAAACGCTAGCCAAACAAAGTCTTCAAACGAAACTATATGGAGCGGCTCGACGATGCGCTCGCGTAGCAGTAATCCTGTTGGTTTCGGGACAATTATCGACAAAACCGTTGGCTCAATGGGCACTCATGTGAGAAACCATATTAAGCATATAGACATATCAGAAAACGATAAGACCAACAATAACATCATTTCCGTTAACAATCACAACAATTTGCAAATTAGTCAGTCTCCACATATGACAGTAATAGAAAGCAAAGAGCCAGCAAATGTTATTAATACTTGCATCACTAAACAAAGTAGCATGCCGCCCAGTGAAAAAAGATCTCAGTTCTCCTTAAACTTAAAGCAAAAATTTTGCAGTATTTTTCGTTTTCGCAAAAGTCAAAATAGGTATCGGTCAACCAACAACGAGTCAGACGACAATAATATCAGCCATGAGAATGTTTCTAATATAATAAAGGTAAAGTCAGAAGACAAACGTAAAAAGTTCCAATCTAGAGCTTTACCACCCTTACCCAAAAAACGTGAGTATGTTATATTTGAATGAACAGCGTTTAAAAAGGCATTTGATTTGTTACTGTTGCTCTCTACAGCTAATGAACAAAACATTGAAACACGAGATGAAACTCTGAAGGATAAAGGAGAGAAAAATAACGATTCTCCTAATTTCCAATTTACCTCGAGCATAGAAAAAGTTAAAGATGTGCGCATTTCAAAATATATCTTCTCTTTCACTACTAACAATGTTCGCTGTTTTATCGTTTCAGTATGGTTGGTACTGGGGGCCCTTATCTAGTGAAGCGGCCGAGAAAGTCCTGTCTAACGAACCTGATGGTAGTTTTATAGTACGAGATAGTTCTGACGACCACTATATATTTTCTCTAAGCTTTAAACTAAATAATTGCGTTCGTCATGTACGGATAGAACAGGATCAAGGTTAATACCATCAATTCTTTTTGACAAATGAGGTTTTTAAAATTGTCTGTTTATTGCTCAGGTACATTTTCCTTTGGGTCGTATGCTAAGTTTAAATCTCAAACAATTACTGAATTCATTGAAAAGGCTGTGGAGCATTCACGTAGTGGAAGGTAAATTTATAAATTATTGCAATGTGTTAATTTATTTATTGGGAAATTTAGTTATGACAACGATTTAGCTGACTAAAAACTTCCAGTTAAAAAGAACAAGTTAGACAAATATTGGTCGTGACCGAATTTTTTATATCAATTACCGGTATCCTAAAAAAAACAAAAGAAAAAAACGAAAAACAACTATATTTTCATATTCTATAATATTGAATTGGCGCGGTTCATTTTATCTATTTTTTATTGTAGCTTATAAGTAGCGAGCAAAAACCACGGAAAACAGAGGTTTTCAGTTAAGGTCGCATAGGCGAGTGGGCGTTCTAGGCGTGTTTCTTGAAAAGCTTAGGTTACTTCCAAACTTTTTCGCAAATTCCTAGCCGATATCTTCATTTTCGTTGACGGGAGATAGTTTCTCACAGATATTACACAGTTAGGCAGACGGACACTTGGACAGACAGACATACTTAGTTGCATTCCAAATTTGGAATTGACTAAGAATTTATATGTTTTATCGGGTTTATGAAGCTTGCTGTTGTACGATATAAAGATATTAAAGTTAAAATTAAATTTCGATACTCTATAATATTTGGAGAGCTATACTTCTTGCTTAATAACGTCGTTTAAACGCTTTGACATATTTTTTATAATTCTTCTTGTGTATGAAACAGGAATCGTACTTCACTTCCCTAATAGTTTGTTTTTCAGGTCTTAGAAGGAAGGGATTAAGTGTTTTCGCAAATGGCGGTCCAATTCATCCCACATATATTTGATGGCAATCATGCCTGGTGATTGAAGCAGAGGGTGAATCACTTCGGGAAAGGTATTCAAAAGCCATTCTTAAATTAAGTGGGACTTAGGCTTGAGATCGTTGTCTTGGTGGAATTTGAATGTTTCCAAAATATCAAGTTTGTTTGCAGTATCTTCCAAATTTTCCTCCAATATCTTTAAATAGCTCTTGTTGTTTAACTTCCGATTACATTCTTGCACCAACAACTTACAGCGCGCATTACAATGGTCATGGTATAGTTTGGATATGGATTGGACCAAAGGAAGTCGGAAACTGGGTGTTTATGGATGGCATTCTAAACAAGGAAGGTTATTTGAGGATATTGAAGGAAACTCTAAAAGAAAGTGTGGGGAAACTTGATATTTCGGAAAACCTCAAATTCTACCAAGACAACGGCTTCAAGCCTAAGCCCTGCTTAATTCAAGAATGGCTCTTATACACCTATCTCAAAGTGCTTCATCCTCCTCGCCAATCAACAAGCATGAATCCCTTATGTGTGATGAATTAGATCACCATCTGCGAAGATGCTCAACCTATACCGTCCAAGACCTGAAAAACAGACTATAAGAGAAATGGAGTAAGATTCATGTTTGCTACACAAGAAAAAATATACAAAATATGTCAGAATGTTTAGATGACTTTATTAAGCAAAAAGCATACCCACCAATATTTTTTTACCACCAAATATTAATTTTTAATAATATGCTAATTTTTCCTTCGTATCCTTCCAATTTTAATGATGCTTTTTAGCGTTCTTGAAGTTATTTAATTTTATTGTCTATTGGAATATTTTGTTTGATTTTTTTTATATTTTAATATGGGTTTAACAAGTGTTTTTATCGAGCGAAAAAACCCAAGTTTAATGCGAGCCACTGTATACTATATAAATTTCCACTTTTATTCTAAAAATAGATAAAATCAACCGTGTCCACCAAATGTTGAGGAATGTGAAAATTTAGTTCTTTTCTATTTTTTAGCATCACGGTAATAGGTGTAAAAGATTTAATCACGACGGAATATAATTTATTTATTTGTTTTTTTTTTTTTTTGATAATGTTTGATTCAATGATAACAAGCAAGTGTTATAAATATTTAGTAAAAGTAACAGAAATTATTACATATTAACAGGAATAGTCTATACCTACGTTGTTATGTAAAATTTTTCTTTGTTTACGTGTTCTTAATATTCTTTAAAGTAAGTTCGTACCGCTGCATTATGAATTTACAATAACGCAGGCTTTATTTTAAAGATCGGTTGCAGAGATATATTGTTGTTCATCCTTTTACATGTTGCAAGCCATCTTTTACCAATTAATTTATATTAATCTTTCCGTTTATCCTCCGCTTAATTTGTTTAAGGCGTCTTTATTTTACGACACCAACGATGAAAGCATCGAATTTATTGATTGGATTTCATTGCTCTCTCGATAATTTGGAAAATTTTGCTTTCAACGGAATTAGGTATTTTTCACGTAGCTATTTTATAAAATATACGATTTGCGCAACGTACGTATTAGACACAGGATATTTTTTTTTATTATTGGAACAAATATTTTGATCGATTTTTTACCAAAATTTTGATGAAACTGTTACACTATTATTGTATAACTTTAAGTTTTTCGGAGCGAATGCTGAACTTGCTGATTTTTACATGCTTCTTTTGAAGTCAGGTTTGCACTGTGAACAAACGAACGGGGAAGAGTGTCAAGAAGACAGTCAAGCTGTCTCAATTTTTCTCGACCTCTTCAAAATGTTCGTAATCTGACATCATTAAGATGAAAAATAACGACTTTCTTATTCATTCAGTTCGTTGCTTCACCTTAATTTGGCGATTTGATCGCATTAGGTGATCTTAGAGGATGGAGGCAATCGTTTGACTATCCTCTCGAACATAAAGCATTGCAATGACGAAATTCATTCCATTATATTTTTTCCTGTTAATTCGTGTGACCACAAAATAACGAGCTTCTTTGTCTAATCAGTCTTATGCAAATGAGAGGAAAACGTTCTTTGGGCAACATTAAGTTCCGTAACATTGTCATAAACTGCATTGCGGTCGAGTTAATGAACGACTGAGTAAATAGAGTGTTGCCCGCTTTTAATATTGAAATCTCTAGAACAACAAGTCATTTGCGAGCTTTTGATTAAATATCTTCACCATGAACGCAACGAATCTTGTCAAAAGTTTGCGAATCATTATCGCCTTGGAGGAATTGATATTATGAAAGAGTGCTCGGTACAACATTTAGCCTCATTTTCTAAACCCAATTACTTTCGACTGAATATCACAATTTCAACAAGTAAAAACATTGTAGTCGGGCGACGCCGGCTATTACATATTCTACACTATTTCGCATAATACAGTTCGCTTATTTTGGTAATAATACACCAAAAAGTACACATTGTCTTCTTGCAAAGCTGTAATCTTCTTGAAATCCTGCATAGCACACAAGTTTTGATTTTCTCTCCATATAATAGCTTGCATTTCGTGATAGCACCTACATATGTTGGGGCTCAAAAACGACATCTATATGATCCAAATTCTATACAGTTAATTTTTTGCTGAAACGCTATCATTAATTAATTTTCATCATAAAATATTGAAAATTAAGTCTTTCTCCGAAGGGCTTACTCATGAGATATCTTGTACGGAATGGGGCCAAGAGTAGACTCATGCACTTTAACGCACAGGAACGTGAAAGTTATTCCCCTGTAAAGTTTTGGAACCCAAATGGTGTCTGATGGAGCAAGGCGATAAGTGGAAGGCGCTTTTTTATACGTCTTCTGCTTTACTTTTATATGTTTTTTACTACATGTTTGCATAAACACACATATTTTAAAATTTTTTGCAACATGTGCGTTATGTCTAAAAATTATTTTTTTATTATTATTGGCCGGTTCTACAAATAAAACTAAACTTCTCTGATTGTAGAATAAAGTTGTAATGAAAATTATCTGGGATGTTGAAGTGCTGAATCCTTAATTTATTGTTGACACAACAAATTTGCTTTTTCAGCTAAATTTGTATGGAGTTTATGGTGAACAAGAATATAAATCTTCATCGAATAATGTGACACACTAAACATGATCAATAATCATATTATGTAGAAAAATTCCCGACACTTAATCGCTGTGGATTTAAAAGAGTAAATTTTTTAAGACAGACATTTAGATACCATATAAATTGACTAGAACAGATTGACCAAAATATTTTCTTTAAAATGTCATAGGAATTTAGTTTTCCTTGCTTCTATTTTGCTTGTTAATCTACACCATCTCTTGTAGATTTAATGTATTTCAAAAAAGAAAATGTATCGATATTTGCTTGTTTGTTAATTGTACATTTGTTTTGCAATAGAAATTTTTTATATCCTGCATCACTTGTGGTACTTTTTTTGAGCACTCCCTATATTGTAATAATGTTTAATATTGGCAGCGTTCTAATATTTATGTTTAATATTTGTTTACGGGAAGATTCCCTATGAATCCTTCCCAAACTGTTAATGAATGTAGTTTAGCAGTTTAGCCCTATGCTGCTCGGCTGCAGTACGCCAAGTCTATCCGTCTTTTATAATGCCAAAGTGTCTCGGCATAAGACGGTCACTAATCTTAATGGTTCAGGCGGATTGAACGCCTTATGTTCTTAGCGAGTAAAACGCTTGGTTGAGTTGCTTTATGAGAACTGGTTTTCTTTATTTTCTTAGGCACTATTTATACTAAATTTTTACACTAAATAGGATTGTAATTGCTTACTAAATTATCCTTATCACATTATTCTTATATAAACAGAATTATCACTGTTTACATGCGAAGTGAAATGTGACATTTTATTTTATCAAAAGGGTTATGCTGAAGTGGCACAATTTTGTCACACTTCGAGTGGATGCATACGATAGTATGCGATCACACTACACCCTTACCGTTTTAAAGAGAAAATTGTTAATGTGTTGATAGACGTTAACAATTTTCTGTTACGAAAGAGGATTTTAGACGGTAATTTTTTTTTTTTTTTTTTTTGATTCATTGTTTAGCTTTGTATGCCTAGTTTTTAATTGTATTTGGTTTGTAGTTCTAAATTTTTATAATTTTGTATTTTTAGGCTTAACTAGGTTTGGTTTATAATTGTTTATTTCTTAAATTTAGTTTACATTTATTGTATTGTATCTCTTAATTAAATTTTTATGTACAGTTTTTGGTTTATCTTTAATTTGTATTG